GCCCCCGCCATGATATCCACCCCCTCCTAGTCATCACCCCCCTCTTTGCCGCCCCCGAGAAACCCGAGAAGCCCAGGGCACCCCGGAGGCCAGCAGGGTGCTTCTTGGCATGGGCCGCCACTGTGTTCATAGCTGCCGCAACCAGGCGAGCAAGGCCGACCTCGCCCCACCGAGCTCTCCGCTTCCTCCCCGCATTGAGCAGGGACCGACCGTCCCGGCATTCCTGTAGTCATACCACGGAATGTTCTTGAACCCAACAATTTGGGCGCCCGAGTTATCCGGGGTAACTCGGGTCCGGGGTAACTCGGGTTTGGATTCCCGGAAAAGGAACCCGAGTTAGCCCTGACCCGAGTTACCCCTGATGATTCGGGGCTCTGAACAATGTTGTAAGAACACAAACAGTGTTCTTAGAACATAAACCCGATATATCAAAACAAGACAGCCCCAGCCAGAAATGCTCTAAGAACATTTCGTGGGAACTACAGAAAGATCTTAGAACATTGCTTGGTGGTGCTATAGGCGAGCCGGGACGCTTCGCCACTGCTTGACAACACCGTGCAGCACGGGAGCGGAACGCCCGCCGGCGCGCCGCCGGGACTGCGGGACCCGCGGGACCCGAGCAGCCCTCAGCACTGGCGCCCTCCCTCCTCCTCCTCCTCCTCCTCCTCCTCCTCCTCCTCCTCCTCCTCCTCCTCCTCCTCCAACACTGGCGCAGCCCCACAAGGCTGGCGGGGTCTCATTTGACTCCGCGGAAGCCGTCATTCCGCTGGACCCCCCGGCAGACCCCGAAAGCGGCGGCAGCTTCGCAGATCGCAGCCCCCCAGGGATGGCGAGGTCTGATCTGGGTCTGCGTGAAGCCCCACTCCGCTGGACCCCCCAGCAGCCCTCGAACGTGGCGACAATTTCGCAAATCGCAGCCACCCCCAGCACTAGCGAGGTCGAATGCGGATCCGCGTAAATCGTTACTCCGCTGGACCCCCCAGCACCCCTCGAAAGTCTCGACTGTTTCGCAGGTCGCAACCCACCCCCCAATGGATGGCGAGCCCCTTCAGCACTCGAAAGTGGCGACAGTTTCGCAGATCGGAGCCCCCCTGGGATGGCGAGGTCTGATCTGATAGACGTCACTACGCTGTTCTCCGCAGCAGCCGTCGAAAGGGGCGACGGTTTCGCAGTTCGCAGCACCCCAAGGATGGCGAGTATAATACGAATCTGCACTCCGCTGGACCCCCCAGCAGACTTCGAAAGTGGCAACAGCTTCGCAGTTCGCAGCTCCCAAGGATGGGGAGGTCTAATCTGAATCTGCGGAAGTCGTCACTCCGCTGGATCCCCCCAACAGCCCTCGAAAGTTACGACAGCTTCGCAATTCGCAACCCTTCAAGGGTGGCGAGGTCTAATGTGAATCCGCGTACGACGTCACCCCGCTGGACTCCCCATCAGGCTTCGAAAGTGGAGACTGCTTGGCGCCCTCCTAAAGATGGTGAGGTCTCACTGAACCCGCGTAAAGCGTCACTCCGCTGGACCCCCCAACCGCCCTCAACAATGACGCCAATTTCGCAACTCCCCCCCCCCCTAAGCTGACGGGGTCTAACTTGAATCCACGTGCGCTGTCAGTCCGCTCGACACCCCAGCAGCCCTCGAAAGTGGCGACAGTTTCACAGGTCGCAGCCCCCCCCCCAAGATGGCGAGGTCTAATTGGCAGCCGCGTAAGACATCACTCCGCAGGACCCCCGAGCAGCCCTCAACAATGGCGCCATATTCGCAGTTCGCACCCTCAAAGGACGAAGAAATCGAACTGTGCTCCTCGCAAGACGTCACTCCGTTGGACCGCCCAACGGCCATCGAACGTGGCGACGGTGTCGCGATTCGCAGCCCCCCCGGGCTGGCGAGGTCGAATATGAATCTGCGTAAGACGTCACTCCGCTGGACCCCCCAGCGGCACTCGAAAATGGTGACAAGTTCCCATTTCGCAGGCCCCCAAGGCTGGCGAAGTCGACTATGCACTGCGTAAGCCATCACTCCGCTGGACCCCCCAGCAGCCCTCGAAAATAGCGACAACTTCGCAGCTCGAAGCCCCCCCAAAGATGGCGAGGTCTGACCTGAATCCGCGTACGACGTCGCTCAGCTGGACCCTCAATAGCCCTCGAAACTAGCGACAGTTTGGTATTTCGCAGCCCCCCTCCCCTCTCAAGGATGGCGAGGTCGAATGTGAATCCGCGTAAGACGTCATTCCGCTGGACCCCCCAGCGGCACTCGAAAGTGGCGACAAGTTCGCATTTCGCAGCCCCCAAGGCTGGCGAGGTCGAATCTGCACCGCGTAAGACGTAGCTACGCTGGACTGCCCAACAGCCCTCGAAAATGGCGACACTTTCGCAGTTCGACGCCCCCCAACGATGGCGAGGTCTGATCTGAATCCGCGTACGACTTCGCTCAACCAGACCCCCAATAGTCCTCAAAAAGGACGACAGTTTGGCATTTCGCAGCCCCCCCTCAGGGATGGCGAGGTCGAATGCGACTCCGCGTGAGACGTCACATCGCTGGACCCCCGCAGCAGCCCTCGAAAGCGGCGACGGTGTCGCACTTCGCAGCCACCCGAGGATGGCGAGGTTGAATCTGAATTTTCGTAAGACGCCACTCCTTGGCCCCCGTACTATCAGCCCCCGAACGTGTCGACGGTCTCACGGGTCGCAGCTCCCCGGGGATGGTGAGGTCACGTAGCACAGCACGGTGCGAGGCAGGCTGGCAGGCAGGAGAGGAGAAGAGGATGGACGAGATGAGGGGGGAAGCCTCCTCCTCCTCCTGCTCCTGCTCCTCCTCAGAGGAGCAGGAGGAGGCGGAGGAGGAGGCGGGAGGCGGGAGAAGGTGGAGACCGCAGTGCTCGATCCAAAACCAGAGCCCAAGGCAGGAGGGCTGCGAACACTGGAGGCAGGAGGACGAGGAGACGGACAAAAAGGCGGATGCAGGGGACGGGGGAGGACTGAAGGATGGGGGGAGCGGAGGGCGGCGGGCAGAGAGGAGAACAGGCTGCGCAGGACGAGGATGGGGAGGAGCAGGAGCAGGAACAGGAGGAGCGAGGGACGGGCGAGGATGTGTGAGGAGGATGGTGATGGTGATGGCACGCTCATCGGAGCGGTGACTGAAAGCAGGCTGAAGCCGGAGAAAACTACGAACAGGAAAGCCCGGATCGTGAATTCGAGCGGCCCGCGCTCTGTCCCGGCCGCCCGAGGCGAGGAGCAGCTGCCGGGGAAGGTCCGCAAAGGACCTTGGGGCCCCGGGGAGCCCCGAGAGGAAGGAACAGCAGCAAGAGGAGCATGAGATAGGAAGGCACCAACTATACACCAACACCGATCCTGGCCCAGGATCACCCTGGGCCCAGGATCGGTGTATACGCCCTCCTGCCTTGCGCAAGAAGGCATATACACCGATCCTGGGCCCAGGGTGATCCTGGGCCAGGATCGGTGTTGGTGTATAGTTGGTGCCCTCCGATGAGAACGGGAACGACGAGAATGGGGCGGAGGGTGATGGGGAGGGGGGACTTCTGGAGAAGGCCCGGGTCGCAAAAGACGGTGCGCCCACCACGCCGTGCAAGTCCTCCCCGGGGATGCCCAAGAGCCGCTCACCCTCCGCACCAGTGCACAACACCACAGCGTCGTAAGCTCGCCTGCCCTTCCCACGCGCGTGTTCCCGACTCTCTCTCTCTCTATCCCTCTCTCCCTCTCTCCCTCTCTCCATGTACATATATGCATGTGTGAACACAGGCCCTTGTCCCAACTGATCTCCCACATCCAACCCCCGAACCCCCTGTCTATACGAGCATTTCTCTCCCTCACTCTCACTCTCTCTCTCTCTCTAGATCTCTCTCAGCTTCTCTCCTCTCCCATGCCCACTTCCCGTATGAATACATCGGCGGCAGGCGATCTGGTCAGCAGGCCTGAAAAATTGAGCCAGGTCGAGCCATGGTGTGATTCTGTACACTTAGAAGTGAACGTAACATGTAGCGCATGCTGTATTATGACATATTCGCGCCATAGCACAAGCAACAATACTAACAACATGCAGCCTACGGTATCCTGCAATTCGCTGACTCAACGGGCCGCACGCGCGGTGGATCCGGCGAGCAGGTGGCCGGTGTGCTGCTTGGACTTAAACGCACTGCACAGGTTCCCCAAGCAGTGCTTGCACTTAGGGGTCCTTACTTGCGTTCTAAGGTAACCGGGCCCCAACGTCCGTCCTCTGTTCAGCAGGGACCGACCGTCCGGGTATTCCTATAGTCCTACCACGACATGTTCTTAGAACCCAAAAATGTTCTAAGAACGAAAAAACAATGCTCTTAGAACATACGCCCGATGTGTTAAAAGCAAGACAGTCCCAGCCAAACATGTTCTAAGAACATTTCGTGGAAACCACAAAAGGTTCTTAGACCATTGTTTGGTGGGGCTATAGGCGAGCCGGGACGCTTCGCCACTGCTTGACTGCACCGTGCAGCACGGGAGCGGAACGCCCGCCGGCGCGCCGCCGGGACTGCGGGACCCGCGGGACCCGAGCAGCCCTCAGCACTGGCGCCCTCCCTCCTCCTCCTCCTCCTCCTCCTCCTCCTCCTCCTCCTCCTCCTCCTCCTCCTCCAACACTGGCGCAGGCCCACAAGGCTGGCGGGGTCTCCTTTGACTCCGCGGGAGCCGTCACTCCGCTGGACCCCCCGGCAGACCCCGAAAGCGGCGGCAGCTTCGCCGGGACGCTTCGCCACTGCTCGACGGAGTCCTTGCCGCCCGTCGCCGCTGGGCCACAGCGCCGGCCCGGCCGGCTCGTCGCCGCCCGGTCGCCGTGCTGGTCTGCACTGCTCCGCAGTGCTCCGCACTGCTTTTTGCATCGCTCGGCATGGCTTGGCATGGCTAGACGCTGCTCTGCACTGTGGGAGGCCTGGAGGTTGACACCAACACCAATATCGGCGGAGTGCCTCCACCGTGGGAAGGTGCTCCCGATCTCGGTGATGGTGGTCATATCTCGGCGTCCTAGGTGGCCCAGGTATTGCCACCAACACCGAATTCTAGGATCATCCTTCCCCCTGTCGAGGCATGCCCGTGTGTTGGTGTTGGTGCCCATTTCCAGGCCTCCAACACTGCTTTGCACCACATCGATTGCACCATTTGCAAGCTGCGCCAACCAGATGGCACCGCATATGCTGCAGATCAACTGTTGCGGGCCCACGCTGGCCAACATGAACATGCACATGTATGTATGTATGTATGTATGTATGTATGTATGTATGTATGCATGTATGTATGTATGTATGCATGTATGTATGTATGTATGTATGTGTGTGTATGTATGTATGTATGTATGTATGTATGTCTGTATGTCTGTATGTCTGTATGTCTGTATGTATGTATGTCTGTATGTCTGTATGTCTGTATGTCTGTATGTCTGTATGTCTGTATGTCTGTATGTCTGTATGTCTGTATGTCTGTATGTCTGTATGTACGTATGTATGTATGTATGCATGTATGTATGTATGTATGTATGTATGCATGTGTGTATGTATGCATGCATGCATGCATGCATGTATGTATGTATGTATGTATGTAGGTAGGTAGGTAGGTAGGTAGGTAGGTAGGTAGGTAGGTAGGTATGTATGTATGTGCATGAATGTCTATGTGTACATGTACAGATGCACCAGAGCCTCGCGCGCACGCGTCGCGCGCGCACGCGTCGCGCGCGCTCAGGCAGTAGCGCAGCCCACAAGATCGGACGAGGATGGACACCATTGAAGGGGCCCTGGGACACACAAATAAATACACACAAATAAAAGCATGTCCCATATTTTATGTTTTCTAGGTTTTTGTCTTCCCCCACATTTCCCATATTTTCCCCTATTTTCTGAGGAGTCGACGATTAATCGTGTCTGTAGGTTTTTCCCCTCCTGAACCATTCCGCAACGATCACCATGCGGGAGCGTACTTCCTCATGCACGCTTCGGGAGTCCGTGAGTGCCGGGAAGGCACGCCCCGAAAGATCCCGCCGTTATGTTGCATCCTCGGGGGATCTTGTCTGTCCCGTCGCGGCCCTGTCCGCGTCGAATCCGTGTCGAATCCATGTCGGACGCGTCGGATCCGTGTCGAATCCGTGTCGAATCCGCGTCGAATCCACGCCAAATCCGCGTCGAGTCCGCATCGAGCACGCGTCGGGCCCCCAAAAAGACACCAATTTTTGGGACAGGCGAAGTCCCCCGAAGATGCAACAGAATCTGCCGCACTGGGCAGACACACCGAGCAGCCGACCGACGGGAACCTGTGGGAGGCCTCGGGGGGCCTGTGGCCTGTGGACCGGCCTCGGCGGTCTTGAAGATCTCCTGGGCGTCTCGAGAGCCCCTCGGACTATCTCGGACTCGCCATCGCTCGGACGTCCATTCCCTGTGTTTTTTCAGGTTTCGTGCGTGGTTTTTCGCCACATGATCAAGGATGCTCCTCGATGGCCCTCGCCGAATGAAACATGCACACGTCCGAGCGATGCCAAGCGGAGGTGTCTTCGGAGGTCCCTTGATAAGTGAGAACCCCGGGGCCGGTGTTGGGCAATTCGGGTCATCGAAAGGCCTCCAGAGGTCCGTCGAAGCCGCCGCGGGCGCCGCCCTGGGCCTCCCTGAAGCCGTGGTGTGCCTTGCCGGGAAACGTTTCGATGTTGCTATTTTATCAAATTTTAGCGAATTTTTGCAGATTGTATCAAGATGTTCACCAATTTTAGCAAATTTTAGCCCATTTTGCATATTTTTCGAAAATTACGGCACAATTTCTCATGAAGGCGACGTCCAACACAGACTCGCTCCGTAGGCGTAGGCGTGCAGGGCGACGTCCCCCAGCTGTTTTCTGTGCAGGCGCCCAGGAAGGCTCCAAGAGGGTGAGCAAGGCATGCACGAGGAGGGCAGGGGGCAGCCCAGGGGGGGGGCGGGAGATCCCCTGGAAGAGCCTGGCGAAACCATGCTAGGAGTCTGCTTGGGTGCCTTTGGGGGTCGCTCTTGGAGGGGTCTTGGGTGTCTCCGGGGGGGGGACTCTTGGGCGCCTCTTGGCGCTTCTTTTTTTTGGGGGGGGGACGCGAGACGCTGTCGCGAACCAGAATCCACTCCAGTAGCCAGCACCGCGCGCCACACCACCGAGGCCCTGTGTCGCGCGACGCCTCTTTCCCAAGAAGCTGGAGTTCCAGCCCGCGGAATGCAAAAAGCGAACCAGGCAAAAGCTAACCAGGCTGCTGGAACAGAGGCATAGTAGGAGGGGAAGGATCTCTCCAAGACCCAACCACAGCCTCAACTAACAAATGCCGAGGCGACTCCTGCCGAGTAACTTGGCTTGCCTGCTCTGCTCCTCCTCCTCCTCGTTTTCATTCACTCTCCACCCCCTTCTGCCCCCTCCCTCTCCAGTGAGGGGGCGAGCAAGCGAGGGGGCGGGGGAGAGACGAGGAAAAGGGGGAGGGAGGTGCAGGAGGAGAGGGAGGACGAGGAGGAAGACGAAGAAGAGGAGGGAAGACGCGGATGCAATCTTGTCTCGGAAGGCGACATTACCTTCCTCTGCGTGGCAACGTTGGAGAAGCCTGAATTGAAAGATACATACAAGCTGCCGCGAAAGACCCTCGATAAAACACAAATCCGTATGGATCTGGCTGCCCTTGTGGCCGCACTTGTGGCGTCTGTCTTCTGGTATTACCTTTGCCGACATAAGAGGTTATCAGACTAACGGGCAGGACGTTAAACCGAGCGGGGCAGAGAGGAGGACAACTGAACTAGCACGGGCTGCACCTGTTGTTCACACAACAATACCCCCGCGTGCAAACGTTGTGGATATTGGGGCATGGATATCCGGGGATAATGTATGGACCATTAAAATATTGCTGTACATGAGTACCGCAAGTGTAGATGTTCCACAAGGTTCCTGTGCAGCAGAATGTCTTTGCTTCAGGGCACTCGACATTGTTGCACCTTTCCATCTGGCGATGCACGCCGCCAGAGTTGAAGTTCTGGACATCGATCAACACATCCTCCACTCTCGCCTCCTCATATTGTTTGTGGTCCTGCGTCTCGTTCTTCCGAATGTTCGCGATTTGCGGTTCGCCTGGGCTGGGCCTGGCGCCCGTGACTGGAGCAGCCCCACGCCGTCGGCCTCGTTCGTGGCGTCGCAGTTGCGCGAGTCGTCCTCCATCAGGCGGCGCTCCTCCAAAGTCTCGGCTAGGTCGTCGGCGGCGACGCAGCCGCGGCCGACAAGCAGGACGGCAAACGCTCCTGCAAGCACCACAACGTTCATTGCGGCAACGGCGGAGTAAGAGTGGCTTGGCGGCAATGGGCACAAATCACACGTTTCAAACGCCTGAAGACTTGCCACAATGTCTTGAGCCAAAATGGCTACGGACGCCTCTTGGCGCTTCTTGGGAGTCTCCTGGTGGCCTCTTGCGACTTCTTGAGGGCGTCTCGGGGGCCTCCCCGGGGCACTTGTCGTCTTTCGGAGCGGAAGGCTCGACATGTCAGTTCGGATCCCCGCTCTTGCCCCGTTCTCGTGGCCGTCTTGAGGTTGGCCCGTCTTGGGGACCTCTTGGGTCGTCGTGGGCCGACTTGGAGCACTGGAAGACAAACAAAACGATGGCGCTAAAAGCTGCCCACACCAAATATGCAAACACACACATATA